AATGCTGAAAAAGTACATAAAATCGCTTATGAAATATGATATTAAACTATATTGGAAATAAAGGGAAAGAATACTTACATAAAATGCATTAATTTAAAGAAGGAAAGAATTCGACAGCGAAAGCAAGTATAAATATATCTTTTTTGATTGTCTTAGATTCGCATGCTGAGAAACGTTGAAAGAAAACATCCTGACATGGGGAGAAAAAGGCGTAGTTTGAGTGTTGGGGTTTTTGAATGGGTTTTCGGGACACGCCTCCGTCCCCTTCCAAAACCCCAGGAGCCGAGCCACGTCCTTGACCTAGACCGGTATTGGTTTTTGCACGAAAATGGGAGATTCTTTAAAATTAAATTGATTTCCTCTAACTCAACCACAAAGCCGAATATCAAAATGAGCACTGATTTTATTTGGAATCAAGGTGATTACACTATTTATTCGATTTCGATTTGTCTTTGACTTAAGAAAGGTTAAGCTGAATTGACACTGAAAGGCTACAATCGAGCAAATTTTTTTTATCTCTTTGCTATTATCCAAGGTCTTAAATAAATTTTTTATAAATAAAGTGTCACAAAAACTCTTCTTTAGTATTTTAATTTTGTAAATAAATGTTAACTTTTAATTTGATTAAATTGCTAAAACTAGGAAAGCAAATTGAATTTGGTAAAAAATCGAAAATTTTAAATTTTTTGTTGATATAATTGCTTTTACCATAAAACATCTTAAGCATTTTCCACGCATATTTTGAAATTTGATGGAAGAGTAACAAACGATTTGACAACGACTATAAATAGTAAATTTGAGGACTAAAGGCTGATTTTCAAAAACTAATATATTTTAAATTCATCCGGTTTGTCCGACTGTAAGTTTGAAAATAAACTGAAGAGTATTAATTCCTATTTCAAGTAGAAGTCTTGAGTTCTATATTAACTTGACGCTGTGTAAGAGGAAAAGTCGATTATTACACATCACAAGTAATATATTTGTTTAGCATACAACAGAAGTGACTCATACTTTGTCACTATCTGACACTAAGTCTGAGCTGTTAAGCATGGAATGGACGCAAAATTATCCAGAATTCTGTTCAGCGCAGCACTCAAGAACAAAAATGTTCAGTTTCTGGAATGAGCTAACAAGAGGAATATTTTCCTTCTTGCACATTCGTTTAATATTTGCATATTGCTATAGTCGTTTTAATACATATTTGAGATCTAGTCAAAAAATACTGTAATTAATTACATACTTTTAAATGATACGATAAGTATACGCCACAAATTCAAACCACTTTTGCTAGCGAACTTTAGCTCCTGGCTGAGAAATTTTTAATTTAGATGCTTTTGCTTACCTCATAATTCAGACTAAATTTATAACAAGTTATTTTAAAACTCATAGCAATAAAATCTAAATTTAATGACAGGTTTTGTGCTTGGGGGAAGGGAAAAAAGCTCTCTGTGCAAACAAATAATTTTCAAAAGCTAAAATAAATGTTCATTGAATTTTTATCATAAACAACTTATTTATTAAATTTCTTTATTCCACGCAGATATTTTCTTATTCCTAGTTAAAGGTTTATTTGATACTTAAGGTAGTCGAAATATACCATACAACCGCCAAACTCAGATGTATGATTTATATAATTGGTTTACTCATGAATTATATATATTTAAACAGAAATAAATTAATCAGTTAATATATTACATTTCCACAATTTTAAACGTAGTTTTTGTTCTCACTCATTGCTTCCTTCAAATAATAATTAAAAATTATTTTCAAGCTATGAAACAATATATATATATATATATATATATATATAGATATATATATATATATATTATATATATATATAATATATATATATATATAATATATATATATATATATATATATATATATGTATATATATATATATATATATACAGTTTTTAAAAGCTTGAAAATCAATTTTAATCAACATATAATATATATGCTGTTAAAACAGACTGATATATACATACACACACACACACATATATATATATTATACTAGTTACATGTATAGAAAATTCTTAGCACGAAGACGTATTATCTGCTGAAATTCCTAAGATAAAAGTACACTAAAGTGTATAACAAAATATTTTGCGCAGTAAAAGAGTGTTCTTAAAATACTAAGAAGTAAATTAGGAGATTGTATTTAATGAAAATTACAAAAGAAAATAAATTATTAATGCATACATATTAAATAAATTGTTCCCTACATTGTGTTATTACAATAGTTATTGTTTATTTAGTTTTTAAAGTTGTTCAAAACAGCGGTTAGTAATAAATTACGAAATTTTTTGATGAATTTATTTCAATAACAGTGATGCCATAATTTTCTGAGAAGTAATATTTATTTTCAATCCTATGGGATAACTATCATAATTGATCTGCTTCAAAAACTGAAAATATAACCTGAGATAATAAATTCAATAAGTTGTTGATGTTAAAATAATTAAATTTAAAAATATTTTAGAATTTGCTGATCAATTATTCATTACAAATTCATTTTGACATTGTTAAATGAATTGAAAACTTATTTGAAATTAAAAGGTAAGCGAAAAATTAATAAAAAAAATTCTCATGCACAATTTGTTTACAAATTTGTACTACGAATTGTACTGGAGTCTGATTCTATTACATACAACAAACACACAAGTAAAATAACAATTAAAAAAAATAATCGTAATAATAATTTAAGGTTTTTCAAAATTATAAAATGATCTTTAAAACACTTATCACTTATTTCTTTCCGATGAAAAATTTCAAATAAAATCACTATAACTAATTCTCATTTAATTTCTAGCTTGCTTTATAAGAAAGTTAGCGTCTATCGTCTAGAGTATTTTGTTAACACCTCTCTCAAAATACAATAGAAATTAGGTGCTTGATGAGATTCGTTTATTAGCACATTGTTTCAAGATTTGCTCTGCTATGAATTGTCAATCGCAAGGAACCCCAAACGAAGCTTCTTGAAACTGAAAGCAATTCATATTCTACTTTCAAAGTAAAAGTGATTCAGGAGATGCAACGATAGAGTTCTAGTAAAATTTATCAAATTTAAAGACAGATTAAAAACATTTGCGCAACAGGTATATGTTTAAATTACTTTTCTTTTCAATGTGGAAATATCATGCCCTCTATGTACATATATGCGTAATTTCCAGATGGAGAAAATAAAAAGTAATTTAAATGTGATTCCCCTTCATTGGAGAGATAACGCTCTGTTAAATATTCTGCTCACTTAATAAGTGGAAGAATTTTTTTATTTTTGACAGATGTATTAAAAGTAATATATATATATATACACACATAGAATTTTTTTAGAAATTCTTGTTAGTTAACCTTTTTCACTTTTTTAATAGAGAAGTGTTAAGCGAGATCAAAATGTTTTTAAGCAGTTTAAATGATTCATCACTTTTCATTTTATCAATCGTTGGAAAGAAATTAGTGACTATCAAAAACTATTTTGCTTCTGAAACTTGCGTCCGATATCGGTATAATGAATTGTTCAAAATTGGTCAGACGATCCCCTAGTAAAAGTACTTAATTCTAGTACATTTCCAGCAGGCTCTTATATTTCTTCTGAAAGAAGAACTTTGCGTCAGTTTGAGAGGAGAGTGAAAAAGAACAAAAGAGAAGAGAGAATGAAAAAAGAGACCAGTTGGAGAAAAGAGAATGACAGATATTAATTGCGGGGTCCAAGGTGGAAGAGCGGGGGCGGCCGGAGTGAAATTATAATGTGATTGCAGAGCTTGGGCATGTACTGAACGTTTCATTCGCTCAGGAGACGGATCGATCTTGAAGAAAATGAGCTATTGGGGAGAAGACCAGCCTAGAGAGGAAAAAGTTGGAACGTTATCAACCGTTCAGAACGTGAACAGCTTCACTCGCAGAGCAACGTCGTGGTCTGGCAGGAACCCCGTCTGTTTGGTCTGTCTTCGAGTTTTCACATAAATTACCCTGGATAGTTTCGATCAGCTACAAGCTGAGACTTTATTAAGAACAAGGACTTCCGGATGCACGTTGTTTCGGTATGTAAATTCTCTGCGATCGACATCTCAGAATTATTTTGATGTGTAACTTCGCATACAGAGACTGAGTTAAGTGTTTAGTTTTGTAAGCATTTTATGACTGCACATCTGAGTATGCATTGAGAAAAGGACAATAACTTCATTATGAAGGAGTAGCATAAGAAAGGAAGTAACGAACTTTGCAAAAGCGTTAAATTTAAACAAACTGTTTTGCTCGGTCATAGTTTCGAGTTCTTATTTTCTCTGAAAATCTCGTCTTGAAAGCCTACTATCTTAATAATTTCTCTCATAACTATATTAATAAATAAAACGCTGTAAGCTGATTCTTAACTTTTAAAATTATCAACAAAATTTATTTGTTTGATAATATATTTTTCGTTGAAGGGAAGATATCAAAAATTAAATAAATAAATTGGAAATTGATTTAAAAATACGATAAGAAACTCAAGTATTGCGAAACTGGCAGTTACTATTTATTAAAGTCAGCAAATAAAAACAAAAATTTGTAAGAGAAATTAAAAATAAAATTTCATAAAAAATCAAATGACGTAAGATATTTAAATATATTTAAATTAAATAGCGATATAAAATTTTTAAAAAATTATATATGTATATATCTATATATCCTCGAAAATATATGCATGCATTTAAGAAAGCATAATAAGAAAATTAAAGTTCATTATTGAAATTAGAAACTTTAAAAAAGTGATAGCTTAAGAAAATAAATATTGTAAATGCAGTAAACTATTCAAAGTTTTGAAACCGTGAAAATTTGAAATAGCGTCCGCCGGAGTGCGTCCGCCAGGACTGCTAGTTGCCAAGTCAGCTTGTTTCCTAGCAGCTGAATAACACGAGTTGTTGGATGGGAGGCGCTGTCAGTAGCAACCTTAACGCTATGAGCACTTACGAAGCAGCATTTTAAAGGTAGCGCTCGAAGAGTTAGGACACACTCACCTTGTAGCAGACGGTCCGTTCACGAACCTCAGCAGCGGGTCTCTCGACTCTTGCTTTCGTTTTAATAAGAGCTTAAAGTAAACAATTATTGCGAGATAATTCACACTTTAGTCGCAAATCGGCACCCGAGAAGTGCGAGTCCACCGACTCGATCATGTACTCCAAGTTTGCGCTCCCTCTGATTGGCGGAGCTGCGTCACGTGGTCGCTAGGGCCGTACCATATTTGGAATAATGTGCTATTAAAAGTGTGCCGGAGGTTTCCTGGTGTGCAGTATAGCCATAATTCATCAAAATTGCGAGGGATATTGGCAGAATTATAGCCTCTCTACAAATCAAACGGGACTTATGAGTTCGTATCAGTTTGTAAATTCGCTGACGTCGTGTTACAGTCAACCCAGACAGGATCCGACGGCTCAGGACTATTACACGCCGCCGGTTCAGGCGTACGGAAACTGTTTTAACGGGCCCTCGTCGCCGGTTCAGCCGCAGCAGTACGGGGCCCCTTATTCTCAGCATTTGCAAACACAGAATGGGGACCCCCATCAATTTAGTAGCTGCTCACAGCAGCAGAGACTTGGTCATTCTATCAGCAGCCAGAGTCCCCGTACTCCGACTCCCTCCGTGACTCCAGTGCCGAGCTGCAAGTATGCGGAGCCGCCGACGGTCCACGCCGCTTCACCGCAGGACCTGTCCACGACCAGCAGCAGCTCCCAGCCCCCGGAAAGTCCTGACCCGGGACAGTCCCCGACCCCTACTTCCAAATCTTCGACAAGTCGGCATCTCAGCCCAGATTCTTCACCTCAGGAATCCAGTCCTCAACAATCCCCTTCGCCGCAGCAGCAAAATTCACAGCAGCCTCAGAAAGGCAATGCTTTCCAAGGCAATCAACCGCAGATTTATCCCTGGATGAGAAAAGTACACGTTGGTCAAAGTAAGTCTCCCAATTTCCATAACTATAAACTGAAGCGACTATACATTGACTTAACACCGGTATAGATAAAAATAAAAATAAACCAAAGAACCACACTCTGAAAACTTACAACTTGCTTGTTACTTTTGCATTCACTTACCTGCATATATACATACAATTTAACTAATATTCTCTCCTAATTATGTGTAGTATTAAATAATAATTTCAAGTGAAAGTAAACGTAATTTCTAGACTACTTCTCTTTCTAAAAATTCTAACTTTTTGCAGTTACTCAAGTATCAAAACATTTTTCAGAAGCTTCTAAATTATTATTTTGTGTCTTACAGCAAAGTAATATTTTGAACACTGAATTAAGAAGGTAAAATTGAGAATGAGGAACTATATACATTGTGTTTTGTTGAAAATGTTTTTGCATATATAATCTTACTCAGAGGTGAGTAAAATTTTGAGAAACTACTCTGAAAAAGAGATAATAAATTACAATATACATTAAATTAATTAAATTTAAATAAAGAATATAATTAGTTAAAGACTGACAGTGAAAAAGTTTTTATATTTGATATTTTAAATAGTTAATTTTCATAAGTTCTGAATTTTAAGACATCTAATTGTTATATTAAAGTTTTTTTAAACACAAAATACAGTTTTAAATTATACTGGTAGTTTTATTATGCAGTATAGATAACTATCTACTCTGATTAGATAAATAATCAGAACAAACAAGTCCAAATGTAATAACATGAATAATACACAAGCTCTGAATGAATGCTGTGGTTTTAGAACTAAAATTAGCTTTCAGTACTCAGTATCAAAAATTGCAGGAAATAGTTTTGTTGTCTAATAAACAGAAGTCAGTATATAATATCAGAAACTGCAAGTAGCAGTAGATTGTTCTTTTGGCAAATAAACAAAATTCCAAAGAAGGAAAGCTGGAACTCAAGTATATTAATAAGTTTTGATAATGTAATATATGAAAATATATTAATTACCAATTTTTGATTTTATTTGTTAGGATCAGGACCGACAAATTTTCAATTAGTTAGCAAAAAAACTGAGATCAACACAGAATAGCTTTGAGAAGCTGCAATAAACACTGTAGAAAGCTGCATACAAATTTTAACGTTCACCTTTATCACTTTAGATATTATTTTTAATATGTTGATAGAAAAATGTCTCTTCTAAAATAATCAACAGCTGTTGCAAAGTTAATTTAAACTAAAAGTGTTAATAACTGAATGGTGCAACATGAAATTGTTTCAACTTGAAGCCAAACTGTTCCACACTTACAAACAAATTGAAACCATATTACAGGTTTAACTTTTTCCATCATTGAAAGAGATCGTTTAAAGGCATTTTACGTCAGGAATTCATGGCAATTAAGTGTATTTAATATAATCTGGGATTTGATCATGCACAGTTCTTACTTTATTATTAACTAATGCCACACTATATTATTATTTCAGTTGATGACAATTTAAAATTGTTTTAAAAATAAATATAGCAAACTGTAGCCAAAACTTTTTTAATTTACTTTTGGATGATATTTGCATGGCATTCATTGAAAAAAGAATTATATGTACTTAATTCCCCAAAAGAGAATTTCAAGGTCAAAGAAATATTTTAGAAGTGTATTTGCGAGATTTATGCTGAAAACTTACTGAGATATCTATACCAGATTAGCATGAAACACAAATGAAAAAACATAACAAATACAACTTCATGTTTGAGAGAAATTTTCATGCCTTAATGCTTTAGATATGATGTAAATACTTATATTAATTCACTGAAAGGTACAATGGAACACAGAAAGTTCAGAATTATTCAATGACTGAAATGAATTAAATGAATTAATTTGAAATCCCAGATTACCTCAATGCAAAAATCTATCTTCTTTTGAAAATAATTCTCTTTAAACAGATTTTAGTTTGTTTAATATTTTTCATTACAATCTTTTCATAAACATATATTTGGTGCATGATACACTATGCTTCAAATGAGTTCCCAACAAAAACAATGTTTTGTCTAGAAAACGCTCCTTAAAAATGAGTTTAGTAGAATTTTTTGTAACATAATTGTGGAAAATATTTGAAGTATGGATTTTGGACTTAATAAGAAAACTTGAATATGACTTGGCATTTTTGTCAAAGTTGATTCCTACAGAAATAAGAGCACAAGTAGCATATCCATGCCTTAAATTAAGCATGCCTGAAAAATCCATGCCTGAAATTATATAGGAAAATTTGATTCACATTAATATTCAATAAACAGTGGAATTCAAACATTGACCGCAAATAAACGGACTGACTAAATATGACATTTTATGAATTTATAATGAATTAATATTTAGGAGTTAAGTGATTTGCATTTTCTGATATTTTAAACGAGGAAATAATCATTGCTTTATCTCGCATCAACTGAATCGAAATGAGATCTTATTATGACAAACACTTCTTCGTTGATTATTTAGGTCATTTTAGTTTAAAAATTCCTTTTCACAAACAACAACAGAAAACACTTTCGAGTTATGAATTATTTTAAGAATAAAATATTTGTCCAATATGGAAAATAGTAAACAAAACACGAAATCATATCTTTTACATGTTATTTGTATAAAAGCGAAATAACAGAAATGTAAACACAGGCTGTTGAAATTTGGTTTAATATATGCATATCTGAAATGCATCATATGCATTCAGTGTTTATGAACTGGTTTTCTATCTTCTATCCTATTGTTTCATACATAAGTTTTAATATATTAAAATTCGTACTGAGATGAAACTAAAACTCTCATATAATTAGTAAAAGAAAGTTTTGTAAGCTATTTTAATGGCAAATTTTAGTTTATTTTGTTTTAAATACAGAGCCATGTTGGTTTTGCTGAGTATTTATTTTATGGCTCATTAGCTGCAAACTTTAAATAATGATATTAATGAACTATAGAAAAGGTCCATTGATTTCATACTCAGACTTTATGAAAATTTTGCTATGTCAAGTCTTTATAGTTCCATGTGCACTAATTAGATCTGTTTTAACTGAAATCGAAAAATTATGGTTGGTGAGAACTGAAGCTTAATTGAAAGATAATATTTTCTAATTCTTTACATTCAGAAATATGCGATATTTTAATTATAATGTAAATTCACGATAACTTATTTTAGCATTTTTGCTGAGAGGGAATGTGTTTATCTAAACAAAATACATATATCTCTGATCATTTGAAAAGAAATGCCTCAAAAAATACTGAAAAATACATTCCAAGCTTAATTGACATATTAAGGAGTGATAATCTTCCTTTTTTTTTTTTCAGACTTTTTCAATATAAAATATATTTTGCCAGAATTTTTTTTCCTGCTTGTAATGTAACTTGATTGTAAAAACAAAATCACATTGATTTTATGGGATTTTGCAAAGATTTTATTTCTCTTATTGTGATATTTTTACTTGTATTAGCAAATCCTTCTTAATATTTCTAATATTAATCTTTAAGCACCATAATATACAAGGAATAAGTTTTGTTTGGGGAGCAAAATCCAGCATAATGAAATAAAGAACTATTCATTAGATTTAAAAAAAAAAAAAAAATAGCATGCGTATTTGAAGGAATTAAATGTAAATATTTAATTCCTACATTTTTTCTCATGGAGTATTATAAATATTCTTGCTTATAAACCACTATAAATAAATAACAGAGCAATATAAAAATGAATTTTAATGTTAAAGATATAAACAAAACAAATATATCATTACCCAAGTGGTACTTTTGCTTTATTCCCTAGTGTATTTGTGTGTATCATGTATTACGCGAAATCCTTTATTGCAGTAACTGTCTGATTTCCATTACATTATATTTTTAGACATGATGTATCATGTTTAGTTAATAGCAAACAGTTTCAAAACAGTTTAAAAACAAAACCAGTGTAAAAAAGAGTTATTTATTGGTTACATTTATGCTATATTCTAATTTAAATAACTTAATCATTCGACAGTATGATGTTTATTAACTGTGCACGGATTTTCTTTTATAGTGTAACAAACTGGATGTTTTAGATGATTGTCCTTAAATGAATTTTAATATAAAGTAAATCAAAATTATTTACTTTCGATAAAAGTAATTACGCATGCACGCATAATATACTAATACAGTTTATAAGGACGTTTGTAGAAAGTAATACTTTCAGTTTACCTGGATTAGAGCATATTATCCAATTCCATTCCTGTGTTTACATCTTATCGCCGCTTGCCGATGTTAAGCCTAACGTCGCTTACGAGTTGAACTTGGGACGTTTCCAGTGCTTTTTCTATTTTGTTGGCGCCAAACGCTCCCAGAAGAAGTGCAGATTTCTGCAAAAACATAATCACTCCTTATGCTGCAACTATAAGCATTTCCAAATCTTGAAACCAGATACAAATTATGTACTTACAAATAGGTTTCTTTGCTTTCGAAATCGTCGCGGCTATCGCGACGTGGTGCATTTCGTTGACAGTCAGTCTAGATGTAAAAATAAGTAAATGAGTTTAGTTGTTTGTTTTCAGATAGCCTAGAGCTGATTCATCATGAAAAGACCCTACAGGATTCACAAAAACGTTGTTAATGAACAACATCGTCATTTACTCTTCACTCAGGGAAGCACCGGCAGCGGCCTGCCATTAGGCATAATCTCACTTAAAACACAAAAAGTAGCTCATAATCACTTAGATCATTACAATCCCACGGTATAATGTAGTTTAAAATATAATCCAGATGTTGAAAAGGAACAAAAGTTTAGGTTTCGCCCGGAAAACACACCAACGATCCGCCGTGGAACATCTGGTCCGAAGAGCGGGAATGGTGCTCCCCGTCTGCGAGAGCTCCTGGAGCGGGCAACGCTTTTCAAGACGCTCGAATTGCCGTAAATATTCGGGGCCAGTTTGCTGTCAAAGTGCGTTTTACCCCTCCCTTCCGACCATAAAACTCGGCGTGTAGGGCCTATAAAACTTTCCGCACGGCCATAATTTTGTCC